GTGTACCGCCAAGGTCATTCCCTCTCTCTCCTGAAAAGGATTGGGTCTGCAAGAGCAGTTTTGATGCTTTTGAGCTCCAATACCCCAACAAAATGTTTTGTCGGAAGCTTGCTCCACATGCAGTCGGCACGTCTTCCTTTGATTTCCGGTTGTCTTTTGGATACTTACATGATGGTCAGTGGCCATCCATTAAGGGCCAAGCGACGGCGTGCGCGCACACTCCTTTTCAATTTAAAATGCTATCTCGTCATGCACGCCATTGGTTCAGTGCTAGAATCCCTATGCGGGTGCAGACACTTCACAGTATAGAAGGCGACACCCCTGTCTTGTGCTTTATAACAGAACCCTGTGTCCCAATGTGTGAGGAGTACCGCCCATGACCTTGTGTCTGTATTATTCAGCGCTTGTGGTCCCTGGCTTCCAGTTTCCCTTGCCCCATCGTGGTCCCTGGCTTCCAGCTTCCCTTGCCCCATCGTGGTCCCTGGCTTCCAGCTTCCCTTGCCCCATCGTGGTCCCTGGCTTCCAGCTTCCCTTGCCCCATCGTGGTCCCTGGCTTCCAGCTTCTCTTGCCCCATCGTGGTCCCTGGCTTCCAGCTTCCCTTGCTCCATCGTGGTCCTTGACTTCCAGCTTCCCTTGCCCCATCGTGGTCCCTGGCTTCCAGCTTCCCTTGCCCCATCGTGGTCCCTGGCTTCCAGCTTCCCTTGCCCCATCGTGGTCCCTGGCTTCCAGCTTCCCTTGCTCCATCGTGGTCCCTGGCTTCCAGCTTCCCTTGCCCCATCGTGGTCCCTGACTTCCAGCTTCTCTTGCCCCATGCACTCAGCACACATCTTCTGCATTTGGTGCCTTGTGTTCCCTGTGTCCCGCACCATGTTCCCCTTATTCAGCACTTTGTGTCCCGCTGTACTCCGCAACCTGTGTTGTCATATCCAGTGCCTTGCGTTCCCTATGTTCAAGCACCGTGTGCATGTTTATTCTATTCAGCATCCTAAACGGTTTGTTTCACATTTGTACAGGGTTTTGAACTGAAGCATCCATCTTGAAGATCATTCTGTGGATTTCACACCTCTGCCCTTCTTAAGACGCAACCCCTCTAGTTTCTGAGTCACAAGCCAGCGAACATGAGCAGACTATTTCGAGGAGGACTATTTCAACGTCACCCAGGCACTCATGCCGCCATAGCAATGTCATTAGAATATTGCCATTATATTAGTATTGTGGCGATCAAGGCCAAGAAAAACATAATTGTCGAGTCGCTCATATTTGGCGTTCGTGAGCAAGATTTCCAGACATAACGACAGTCAACTGCCTATCAATGAGTGTTGCGCAAGGTGCGATGACGTGATCAAACAATGGCACATTAAGGGGCACATTCACTAAACCAACAATTTTTTGTCCACAGCAATATTTTCCATTTAAAGGTATACTAATAGATACATGTGAGCTTATGTATTTCATCATATCTGATGCTTGCTTCATTATCTTAAAATATGAGACTTTCTTTTAAAGATCCCTGCATCCCCTGTGCTCAGCACCTTGTGTCCGACGCACTCAGCATTTTGTGCTCACCCTGTATAACGTTTGTGTTCTCCGTGTTAAATACCGTGTGTTCAGAATATTTGGAACCTTATGCTTCCGTATTCGGTGTCGAGTGTCCTCTCCATGCAGCACCTCGTGCCCGTGATCAGTACCTTTTGTCCGCTGTGTTCAGAATATTTGTAACCTTGTGCTTCCGCATTCAGTATCGAGTGTCTCCTCTATGCAGCGTCTTGTGCCCGTGATCGGTACGTTTTGTCCACCGTGCTCAGCACGATGTTACATCGTTTCAGCTGTATCCTGTATGTCCGTATCCAGGGTTTGTTCGAGGACAGGGTCAAGTCTTCAGAGGTGTCATGGTGGCATCAGGGGCCCTTCTCTCTTACCTGTGTATCAGCGGTAGCGGAGGGTAAAGTGTTGATTTGGTCGAGAGCTGCCAGAGATAATTCCCATATGGAATTTGAATCAACGATGAAACCGGCATTGCTTCAGATCAGTGCAACGCTCGCCAATACAAAAGCAAAACCTCGGCTGGAACTGGTCGGCGTGTTTTGCAGTTCTCAGACATTGAGGTCAATGACGTCTTAGGAAACAAATGTTTGCCAAATCGACAGTAAGGAGTTCCAGCTAGCGTGCCAAATGTTTGTTGTAATACTTCTTATTCCATGGCATGACTCAGTGATTGCTGCACTATTATTTTGCTTGATTTTATTTAAGGAGTCGTTTCAAACGCCCATGAAGTAGTGCTCTTTTCTACCTGCCAACGTACTGAAGACATTAAAGGACATGCTGGTTGGGTCACTGATAAGTCTACTAGGTCAAATGTATTGGCTGGTTTGTGGGAAATTTGCATTTTGTACATTATCTAGATCCGCCCGGAAGCAGACTATTTGATATTTTTTTAATGCAACCATTCATATAGTCATGACTTCAATGTTTGTGGCATGTGAGTTGAAAATATTTCTGTAGCATCGTAGTAAACGTAACAGATGACAAATACTTCAAAATTGATTTTGTACAGCTTTTCCTACGCTTGATTTTTATGGTGAGGTTATTAATGGCACGTGGGAAGATTCATGAAATCCTTCTGCATAGCTTCAGCAACGCATCATTGCGTTACAGTCTGGGCATTTTCTTCAGAAAGGAAAGCAAGCAGTCGCTCGTGGAATTTCCATGCAGTGAGCCCTCCTTAAGGTCGCCGAGTGCGCTCGTTCAAAACACATTTCGTTCTCTTCTGTTTCATTTAGGCTACCCAGCTTAGCAGTTTAGTCTGGGAAACAAAAAAAAACATGCTACTTTTCAACACACCCTGACATGTTGCAATTGCACCTTTCTCGGAATCTGGTTTTGGTTTAGTTAGGAGTTGAAGGGGATTTGAGGACCTCGCTTGACTTCCTTGCACACCGCAACTCTGCACAGAATGTAGAAGCAGGCCATTTTATAACCACTTATTATATATTATATAATATTATAACATTTTATAACCATCATATAACTTCTTGGTAGTTAAGTTGGTTGGGCCACCGGTCTTCACATTCACCCACCCGCAACGGGGTGGATTCGAGTCGTTTTTGGTGCTCACCATTTACCTCCGACTGGGATGGCCCGGGGCTGGTGGCAGCGGCCGCGCTAAAGTTCAGGTGACGTATGAACGCGGATGGATCGTGCCGAGTATTGCAGCATGGTAACCTTTCGCTGAAAACGTTTGCCCTGACCTGGAATTTTACGATCGGGTGATGGGACCAGGGCTCACGCCAGAACCACTACTTAGCATAGGCGCTGAGTTCAGAAATACCAGAAAGTGAGTCCAGAGATAGTCCAGAAATCAAGAGACTGACTGAATTTATAAAAAAATCTTGGAATGTTGGGAAAAGCTAGGTCATCCGCAAGCCTGCCTCTTTTCGTTGGTAAAAGGCTCTATCAACGACATTCTCAACTTACATAGTTATCAGTGCGTCGAAATGACGTAACAGCGAGTGTATAGAAAATCTTTACAATAAACACGGATGACAAAAACACAAGGTAGAGATTCCGTTAGTGGTAAAACATTTAAAATGGTGAAGTGTTGGTGTGTTTAGGTCAAAAGTTTTGGTTGTAAACAGACAGCATTGAACTACGCTTCGTCTAGGCAAAACCACGTCCGTCCTCTTTCAAAGCAACGCTTTAGAGTGCTTCCGTCCGAGAGGTTCGTCTTGAGTTACACAGGTTCTTACTTCGGATGCTCATTGCTGCTATCACAGCAGTGCCAATTTAATCATAATTAAATTATCAAGGGCTTTGGTAATCCGAGATGTATTATAAATGAACAGCATCACTTATTGATAGCTGTCACGAGTCCCAAGAAGGATGAATTCGCTGCTATATCACGCAGCAAAAGGTACCAGTAGCTACTATAGGTACGGATAGCTGTGTCAGATAGCCAAAAGGTAGCAAAGTCATGCAGCAACTTAACAAAAATTCCGCTTGCGTGCCTTACGGCTCCCTTCCTCATATTGTCTACGCCACTGGTATTTGACACCTTCGTGTTCACCGTGTCCAACACCGAATGTTCTCCAAATCCTACGACTTGTGTTCCCTACGTTCAGCACTGTGCATCCCCCGTATCTGACATCGTGTGCTCCCTGTGTTCACCACACCGCAGCATCGTGCGCTCCTTGTGTTCAGCACCCTCCAGCATCGTGCGCCACTGCCCCCAGGGCCGTGTCCGGACAGCTTCTTCATGGTGTTCAACATCAGGGAGCAGAAGTACACGTGCGGCTGCCCGGCCGGCTTCCTGCTGGTGGCCGCCGTGAACCGCTGCCTGCGCGTGCGCACGTCCTGCCGCCACTGCGTGGAGAACCTCTACATGTGGCCGGGCGACGGCCAATACTACCGGGTGCGCGGCGCCTAGCGGCTGACGGTGGCGCTGGCGGCGACACCGCAGCGGCGGCCAGATCCCGCCGGAGGTGTCAGGGGTGTGGTGGTCATCAGTGTCGTTCAAAGCGGCGTCATGGGCCTGCTGGCGGGCGGGGCAGATGCAGCGTTGGACGGGTTATGTGCGCGTCGATAGCCGTGCGCCGCAGCATCGGGGCAGGGTGGCGTGCCTCGCTCGCGCCGCAGAATGTGAGCGGCCCTCCCGCGGAGGGTGGCGTCGCTCGCTCGCGCCGCAGGGTGTAGGCGGCCCTCCTCCGCAGCGGAGCATGACCACCTGCCTTGTGCCGCAGGAGCTGACGCAGGGCCCGTGCAACGGCTCGGACCTGCTGGTCCAGACAGCAGACGGGCCCGTCTGCGGCTGTGGCAAGTACGCCGCCGACGACCGGCTGGGCCGCTTCCTGGAGCCGACGGCGCGCTGGCCGCTGGACGGCCGCTGCTATCGGCTGTACGAGCAGGCGCTCTGCCCGGCCGGCCACTGGTTCATCTGGAGCAGCGCTGAAGACCGGATGCCCGTCTGCTGCCCCAGTCAGTGCACCGTGCGGTCAGCTGACCGGTGTTCAGTCAGGGGCAGGCACCGTACTGTGGGGAGGGGACTTCCGACTGCTTGCGAGCTGGTGCACGGGGCGACGGCGGACCAGTGTTCAGTCCGTCAGTCAGACCAGTTCTGCTGCTGGGCCAGCGATGCTGGTTTGGCTGACGCACTGAGTGGGGACAGGAGAACTCCGCAAGGGCGATCGATGGGCCAATGTTCAGTCAGGCGGCCAGGCAGGCACCAGACCTGCAGGGGGGGGGGGGGGGCGTCTGCCACCCCAGCGGGTACGCGAGGCGGACAGAGAGACAAGGCGTCTGGAATAATGGCGGGTTTACATGGGCTCCGGTGGCCGCTCCGTCATATAAATGATTGGTTGCCGCCGTGTCCCGGAAGGGACCAGGGCAGTGTTCGACACTTTCCAAAATGACTGCCGTAGAAATATGGCCACGGGACGTCGCATTTCTGAAGCATAATGGCCTACAAATGGAGCGTGACATTTCGCTTCATGGCGTTCATGAAACGTATTTGCCCACTGCAGGCAATCAGTTTTAGCTTTCACTTGAGCTTGACACACGGTGAGCAATTGCGCAAAGGGCGCTTTCGCAAAGAAGGTGGTCGCAAAGGAGGCTGCCCTCACAGCGCTTCACACATTAGTCCGTCTGCAACTTTGGACTGATGCAAGGAGCAGTTTGTGATGGATCGAGAGCAAAGGCAGAAGGCTCACAAAACGATCAAAAGCCTGGAGCATGGATTTTCCGTTGTCTGAATTAATTTCTGTGTATGTCCAATTTGATCGACCAAATTGCCAGCAGGCTCGAAGTGATTGGCTTAACACACTTCAGGCAATATTCATATGACGCTTTGTTAGGTCGCGAATATTCAAAGGCATTGAGAAAGCTTGCCTCCAGAAACCCAGTCACGGTTGTTCGTGTTTCTGGAGGCAGTAGCTCGAAGCTTCGTTTTTAACTGAATCGGTTTTGTGTATAGTATCCCCTTTGGCGCAAGCGTTATCAGAGACCCAAGCTGGTACCAAATCTGACCTGCTGGAACAAGAGGACGAGCGGGAGCAAATCCACGGTTTGACGTCAGGGTTATCGAAATAACGGTAACTTTCAATTTCGGAGGCCTATTTGTTTCATCATCGTGTATGTATTCGTCACTTCACATTTGCGGCGTGTTATGCTTTGGTTCCATAAGACCAAAGACACAACCGTAAAATGAGGAACCGGTGCATGGAGACCGAACAAAATGGTGCCATGGTAATGTTTACTGGATAATTTGATAAACCTGACGGCAAATGACAGAATTCAAATCCTGTGCGTCCTATTTTCCGTGCATTTCAGAATTAAGTGTCTGTGGAACGCGACGAGATCAAATTAGGCACAATCAAAAGGCGCGCACGCGCGAAAAGACTAATGCGGAGATTGGTGTGGTGACTTCGTACCATCTAGGGTCAGGGTGCGATGCAAGGATGCATCTGGTCACTCTCAAATCTCATGCCACGGCAGGCTAGAAGTGGCACCCCGGATGAATATCTGTGACACCCTATCTGTGACAAACTGGTCAAAAATGTGTCTCATATCCCAGAGCAGCAACAGCTGAGAACCATAGGCTGGAACGGGAGCGTCGCGCCATGCAAATGAGAAGAACATAAAATTCATTCAGCATGCACTGGCCTGACCTTGACCTAACTTAACTTTAAGCCGGCCTGTTGCCGCACCTTTGATAGCTTTGCTATTATAAAATATGGCGCACGTTTGGCGCGGAAAACATGATCAGTTGGTATAGTGTTGGACGTAATGCTATCAGGGCGTTGTTGCGGGTGTTACATGGTTTTCGAGCGGTCTCACGATTTTAAGATCTGTGGGACATTTGACATCAAATGTGACATTATTCCTGCCAAAATTTGTCAACTAAGTGTTTGCTTAGGAAGTAAAAACTAGGATGACGTGTGAGATTTGGTTTGTTTCGATCCAGCAGTTCGATATTCAGATAAAGCGGAGTGCGGTTATGGTAACCAGATGGTCTTCGTTGATGAAGTATTCCAAACGGTTCCGGACTTATTGAAGGAGAAGTGGTTTTATTAGCACACGCCGTGTTTTCAGCCTATGTTACGTGGAGATGAGATATGATGTTCAAATGTTCAGATTCAGGGCTGTTGCATTGGAATGAGTGTCCTTTGGCAGTCTTTGGCACGGTCGGTCTTGTAAGTCTTTGGCACGGTCGGTCTCAGTGTTTCCTCGTGCATGTCACGCCAAACATACTGTTTTCACCTTTGAAATCGCTTTGAATGCTCTTGCCGCTGTCGATAGGCCTTTACAGTTCGGTGAGTCAGCGCCGAGGCCTTGACCTGCTGAGCCCCGGCTAGACTTGCACCGAGGCTGGCTGGTGCCGGCGATAGCGTTCCATGAAGCCGAACTTCTCTCCTCCACTCAGCGCGCGGACGGCAGCATCGCGTGCCGTCGCGAGCCATGTGTGCCGAGCAGTGTGTGCCGAGCTGTGCGTGCCAGCTCATTTCAGGCGTTCGCTGGCCACAGATAAGCGCCAGCGTTGTCGCGAACATTTACGACTTGATACGTGCGATTGATTGGCCCGCGTGATAACAGCCGCCGTGACCTTGGCACAGTGTAGCGTGGCTGCCAGTGACCATCGGCCACATCTCTCACGCATGCTCGCCCCGGGCTAAAATGACCGTCGCGTTTCCAGGGGGCCACTTCTTCTGGCCCGAGGATGGTCAGTGCTACGAGGAGTTCACACGGGGCCCTTGTCCCAAGAGCCAGATGTTCATCAATGTACTGCGCAACTCTGTGTGTATCTGTGATGACCAGTGGGGCTTCACGGTGCTAAACCCAGGGGACGGCAAGTGCTACTTGCGGAACACGCAAGGCCCGTGCAAATCTGGTGAGCATCCGAGACTTAAGTCGCTACACAGCAGTCATTGTTTTGGTACTCTCACTGAACTGATACCCAATGCCATTATTTTGGTACTCTCACTAAACTGATGCCCAAACGCATGGTTAACTGACGGCCGAACGCCTGTCATGTGGCCGAATTAATGAAGTTTATAACTTTGTTGCCTACACTATTTTTATATTATATTTATTACTATTTCTCTTTATTTTCCTCTCATATTGTTATTCCTCTGGGTTTTTTGTACTCACGCGTCACAAATAAATTAATCTAGCTGCAGCCTTGTAGGCTCGCAACATTTGACAAATCCTTTATGCAGTGTGGGCTTAATGCCCGTCATGGGCCGTTAATCATTCACAGGTTTTCGTTTTCTGGGCACCAGCGACGGTCAAAAGGTGTGCGACTGTATGCCAGGGGAGTTCTTCTACTCGCCGACGGAAAAGTGCTACCCGCTTTACCAACAAGGTGTGTCACCGAACATGGACCGCTTAGAGAGAGAGAGAGAGAGAGAGAGAGAGAGAGGAGAGAGAGAGAGAGAGAAAAAGAGGTAGAGAGAGAGGGAGAGATAGAGGAATGATGGAGGGAGGAAATGGGAGGTAGGGAGGAGGGATGGAGGGAGGGAGTGGAGGGAGGGAGGGAGGGGGAGGGGAGGGAGTGAGGGAGGGAGTGAAGGGAATGGAAGGGAATGGAAGGGAAGGGAAGGAAGGGAAAGGGAAGAAGGGAAGGGGAGGGGAGGGGAATGAAAGGGAGGGAGGAAGGAGAGGAAGAGAGAGGGAGAGAGAATGACAGAGAGAGTGTTGAGAGAGAGAGGGATATAGATGAGAGAGAGGAGGAGGAGAGAGAGAGAGAGAGAGAGGGAGAGAGAGAGAGGGAGAAAGAGAGAGAGGCTTTTCTCTGCCGTGTTTGTTGCAGATGCCCAACTAACATTGCGCACGCTTGTGCACGGGGTGGGGGGTTATGGCGTGCCGTTTGTTTTATATAAAGGGTGTGCACAGTGGCTCTCCTGCACTCTGCGTACCGCTGCCAAATAACGGTTTTCCATATGTATCCCGATGCTGGGCTTGCTGCCTCGGTACCTCTTTAGCTCTTGCCCCCCCCCCCCCCCCCCCCCTCCCCCTTGAGTTCAGGTGTACATCTGCTTCTGCTCAGTCCCTCTCCTGCTCCAGATGTCACCGGTTCACGCTCAGGCCCTCCTTCCCCAAACGTACCCTGCCCAATGCCGCTCCCCATATGCACCCTCTGATCAGCGCCTCCTTCCCCAAACGTACCATTCCCAATGCCGCTCCCCTTATGCACCCTCTGCTCAGCACCTGCCTGCGCAGAAGTCCGCCATTCAGGTGAGGACTCTCTCCCACCCTGGAGAGAGCGACTCAGCCTGCTTCTGCTAGCGGCAGGTCCCTGCGGGCCCGGCCAGTGGCTGGAGTTCGCCGCCGCCGCCGGCCGGGCCGTGTGTCGGGAGTCGCCGTGTCCCCTGCTGGCCGCGTCCGGCGCCTCCGCCCGCGTGCCCCAAGCGCGCCTGCTCGACCTGCCGGCGCCCAGACCGCTCGTCTTCTGGAGAATCACCGCCAGGTCAGCGACCGGGAACGTCGACGCTGGTGCGGGATGCTCGGTCGCTTCTCGTTATCATGTATCTGAACCGTTGCAGACAGATGACTGTCACGATCTTACGTCGTTTGCAGTCAGTGAGGACCGTGTGGGCGTAGGGCAGTCAGTTTGCAGTCAGTGGTGACCGTGTGGGCGTGCGACAGCCAGTTTGCAGTCAGTGAGGCCCGTGTGGGCGTAGGGCAGTCAGTTTGCAGTCAGTGATGACCATGTGGGCGTAGGTCTCATGATATCGTTGACTTGTCACGTCAGATAGCGGCTAATGTCCAACGAAACTCAGGGTGATGTGGGTTTAACCTGAATCAGTTTTCTAAATGGGCTGTGGTAGAAATGCTTAGTTTGCATTTCTGAACAGCCGCGTATGGTGTGTACGCTTAGCAAATGTAGCGAGAGTTCGGTGCAGACAAGTTATCGGAACGAGCGTCTTTCAATTTAAAACTGAGATAATAGCAACGTCGGTAAAGCCGCGCTGCCCCAGTCGCGATAGCGCATTGCAATCCCATGAGCGTTGCTGTACCGAGGTTGGCAACACTGTGTGCTTGCGTTGAAAATATCTTTAGAACTGTCACGTGTATTGGGTGTTGTTAGATCGGTGGTCAATCAGAGACGTGTAGTTGCAGACTGTCCTGGTTGCAGGTGTTACCAGATCGGCAGCCAAGGTCCGTGCAGTGACGACTTCCGTCTGGAGCTGGACGAGTACGGTATCACCCCGGTCTGCCAGCCGTTGCACGAGCCCAACAGGTGAGCGACACCCGAGCCTTGTTTTTAATGATGTTACCAGCTGGCGGCCACTCATCTTCGTGTCCGGGCATGTCAAGACAAGCGTGCTGTAATAGGCATCGGCGGCACGCAAACAGCAGTCCCAGCGAATAGTTCGCAAGGCGGGAATATGACTACCAATTCAAAGCCTGCGTTCTCGTTACATGCATGGGGCACGTATGCACAAAGTTGAAAGCTACACGATTGACTTGGATGGCGACGTACTTCGCTCCTTTTAAATGGATCTGTACTGGTTGAATTTTTACTGACAGCAAGTTCAAAAGCACACCGGGGAGAAGTGTGTGGGTGCCCTCAAGCTGCAGTATTAACATGGCACAGTCTTTTTTGCCGACGATGCTGCACACCTTTTTAAACATGCTAGCCAGTATCGATTGCAAGCACTGATCGCAGTTGGCTGCCAAGTACATGCGACTAGTGGGTCTGTCAATAACCATTCTTTCAAAAATAAGCTAAACGTTCTGCCAGCTGCATACAACAGGTTCTCTTCAGATATTGGTAAAGTTGACCATGGCTGGTAGGTGCACTCAGCTTGTAGAAAGTAGATACAAACTCGTTTCAGCATTGGTGTAAGGCATATGTCGTAACCATGGAATGCTACAAATTTATATTGGATGGCTGCTCTCTAAGCGCATGTTATATAACTCCCTGCACTTGCAAATGTTAGTTATTCTTATTTCATGTGAAATTTTACTCATCTGCATGCACGGCATGAAGTATACGTCCAACGGAAAAGACCTGTGCGGATTGCTGATGCCTGCCGGCCGCCAGGCATGTAAACTCGTCAGTCTTCCTTGGTTTGTTCAAAGTCGGGGCATCGCAAAGTAGCAGACCACTTTCCTTCAACATAAGACATTGTTTGGTTCTCTGCCAAGAGACATAGGTCTGTAATTTGTGAGGGATGGAGGGGAAAGTGAATCCAGAAGATCCTAAGAAGACTATGTGCCACAAAACTGCACAGAACACGTATCGTCAGCTGGACGTGCCACCGTTTGTGGACTCGTTTCATAACCAATCAATGTCCGTATCCGGGGTTATTTCCACCGTCAGAAAAAAAATGGTCGTCAACAATCCAATTAAACAATGTTTTTTCAACGACTTTTTCCCACCAGCTCATCGCACTCGTGCGTTGTTGTTCGTTGGGTGGCGCGACACCCGCGGTTCGGTCACACATGCGTCTGACGGTCGCCACATGGATGGAGGCAACCCCGTTGTTGAGGGGTGGTGGTTATACGGCTGGTGGTCGCCCATGGGGGGGTCCAGCCTACCTTTGCTACACCGCTGAAGACCAGCTCGTTTTTCGACGCGGGTGGAAGAACTGCAAACGTGCTCCGTACAACGCCCCGACTCCGTGTTATGCCCCGTGGCATATCAGCTCTGTGACATATCAGCCGAACGCCGTGCTTTAGCTGTAAATGACATGGGTATTGGTGTTAGTGGCGTACCTTATGTTTTTTTTTCTTATCCTAACGTTACGACTTTATTCAGCTATCTCTGACTGGTTTGCCCATGTATCACACGGCTAGGCCTTGAAACTTACGACCCGCTTAGCTTTCCTTTCACTTTCGCCTTGTTTGTTAAGCAATCTTAATTTTTTTATAGCTCTGGGCACGGGTACCCTGGCTTTGTTACTTTGAGTTCTTAATATTTTGATGTGGCTTCTTTAGAAATATTAACGTTCCTCAGCGGCAGCTGTGGTTCCTTCGTTCGGCAGCTGTGTAACGTTCCGTATCATCCTGATTCTAGCATGGGTGTTGGTGTACGGTTGTTCGTATTTCGGTGGATTGAAGATATTTAGATAGGAACGGGCGGTCGCTCTTTCACGTGTTATCGGCGGCTAGAAAACAAAACTTGTCCTACGAAGGAACACCGCCACACCTGTGACCATCCCAGGCTTGACCTTGAGCTTGACCTGCAGCCACCCTGACCTTGACCTTTTGGAAACCGGACTCCTTCGATGCGAAGGGAATCCCGGCGCACATCGAACTGCCGTGTCATCCCGCACCATGATGAATTTGAGATTCGGCAGCGATTTTAGCGCACGGGCCTGAAACAGTAATAGAATATCTGGAACCACTTGCATAACGAGACCTGTGCCAACTGGATCAAGCTACGTTTGACTTTTACGCTGAAGCACCGCCACTTGAGCAGGCCAATATCACGCTAGGGTTACTTTATTTAAGCCGCTTTAATTACGACGTGCAGGGCAATTAGCGAGCAGACCTAACGTGTTGAGCAACGGTAGTATCGGGCTACGTCCCTGTTTGTCCGTTTCCGACCGCCTCGCGATTGTCGGACTGCAGTGTTCCTGCATATCCCTGCCTGAGTGCAGTGTCCCTGGCCTCCAGAGACGTACCCGTGCAGGCGCCGATGAACGAGCTGACGCGCTGTCCGCCGGGCTCGTACAGAGCCATCTCTGGAGCGTGTCCGCCAGTTCTAGTTACAACGATGGAAGCCGACGCTGGCGCCGTCTGCGGGGAAATGCAGGTATGTGGCCAATAATGTCTCAATCGTGGGGACAACTTCACTTGTGTTGTAAATGATTTACATGATGCACATGCAAGGTAATATTTAGTTTTCACCGAAACCTGGTGAGGACATGGACAATGTCAATCAGGAGTCGCTAATATATTACGTTACGTATGGAAAGGGAGAGTGGGTTTGATAGAGCGTAACCGAAGAGTAACAAACTTAGTTTGGGCAGCGTTACGGTGCACTCACGTGCGGTTGTAAATCATGCTGAGGTCCTAAATAATGTGTTGAAACCATAGAGGCAGACGCCGTTGGCTTCCTTTCATGACAAGCATCACCCTCGTCTATGACTGCACCTACAGCTCAATAACGAGACAAACGAACGTTATCCTTCCCGAATGTCTCTAGGGGAGGAGGGTCTCGTTTTGTGTCATCAGTGTGTAACCATTGGGAGGAGAGGGTTGAAAAGTGACCGAAACAACGGAACGTGACTTATGAACAGGCACTGACATCCCCTCGCCCCCGGGTATAACTAAATGAAAGTGAGCACTGGAGCTGTCATGCCACGGGAGGGTGCCAACGACCTGTACAACGTGCTGCAAAATAGCCCATTGATGGATTCTGCGGCGCCCTAAGAACTTGACTTGCAACCCCTTTCCTGTTGTTCTCATGAATTAGGCCTCAAACTCTTCACTGGGCACAGGATCTTTTTTAACTGAACCATTACGATTGTTGTCTGTTTTGAAGAAGGCATCGTGTTTTATCTTTGGTTTGAAATTACCCCTAAGATTAACCTTAAAATTTACTGTTGGTTGTGTCAGATTTGGTTATGCGGAGCTCGGTTCACGCACGGTCCTCCAGATAAGTTATGTATGATCCGTTCGCGGAGCGGGCCAGCACGCGTGCTCTGGTGTGGTCGGGTTCACGCGCGCTCTGCCGCAGGAGTGGTCGGCGGCGGCGGGCCGCTGTGAGCGGGCGGCCAGTGACGACACGTCCACCGCCGCCTGCCCGCCGCCGTACCTCGCCTCGCCGGAGGCCGGCCGCTGCGTGTGCCCGCGCGGCCACTACCCGGACACCGACGGCGCCTGCCGAGCCAGCCAGCACCACGGCCTCGGCCCGCTCCACTGGACCATCTACAACTACCAGCGCAAGGTGGCAGCGCGGCAGGGCGACGGGCGCGACGTCTAGCGGACCGCCTCGCGCGCCGGGACGGGGCGCAGGGTGGTCGGCGGCGGCAGCCTGGGCTGTAGCAGCGGACTCCGCGGTGAACAAACGCAGAACGTGATGCGGCGAGAGAGGGAGAGAGAGAGAGAGAGAGAGAGAGAGAGAGAGAGAGAGAGAGAGAGAGAGAGAGAGAGAGAGAGAGAGAGAGAGAGAGAGAAGAGAGAGAGAGAGAGAGGAGAGAGAGAGAGAGAGAGAGAGAGAGAGAGAGAGAGAGAGAGAGAGAGAGAGAGAGAGACGAGATGAGACGAGACGAGACGAGACGACGCTGATGTGCCTGGCGTTAAATGCTGCCGCGTGCTGCAGCCGCGAACCCTGGTGGCGATAGTGGGAACCAGGCGCCGTTTTTTTTTACTCCAAGTTGCGGCTTAAAACCACCTCTACGCGGCTTGTGAAGGTGTTCGATCTACAAGGGCGGTGTAAACAGGCAGCTTGCTACTTGAAGTAGGGGTTGTTGAAAGGCTACCAGTTTCATGGCTATTGCTTTCTAACGGTTGGCGTGGTATAATTGTCGTTATATGCGTGATCGTTTATATCCAGAGGAATCCGTACTCGTACAAATTTAGCTCTAAATTATGTGCCCCTCCAAACTATCCAAAAAAACTTAACAACAAGTAGCTGAAGACCGAAGAATAAGTTGATAAACACTGGCAGAATGTTCCGAGCTAAGTTAGCACCCGCTCCCCTCCGGGCCCTTTCAGAAAACGGTCACCTGGGATGCCCTGCGGGGCTGTGCATACTCGGTGCGGGCTAAGCCAGGTCAGGTGTGGTCTCCAATTACTTGAACCTTTTGTTTGGTCACATAGCTCTGGAATGTGATTCGCGGGGTTCTGATCAATCTAAACCAGGCCATGCCAGTGATGGACGCATATCAGTAGGCAAAGGGCGCTTATGCTGACGTAAACGCATAAAGAACTGGTGAATGGCGCTGGAGGTTGTGCTAGTTATCGAGAGACGTGAAGTTGTTTTGCACGTTGTTTTCAATGTTAAGTGAATGTATTGGAATATCATGTTATTGTATCATTTCTATGGGCATAGCGCATTGGATGAGCGTCGTGTGGGATGCTTTCCTGCGATTTTGTAGCGTATTGTTGATATTGTGTTTGTACAATAACTTCCATTCCATCGTTACACAATAAAGGTGCTGAGTACAACAAACGTCACGGTGATTTGCATAAAACGGTATAGATGCACAGGCGTGATCTGTATTTCCGCTGCTACTGCGAGCAGCTTTTACTGATGGCAGCGTTTCGCCAGGATGGGACGATACTCATGGCCAGCAATGATATCCGTCGATAAAATAGCTAACATGCATGGTGGCCGGGTGCCTCATTTTTGCCCGGGAGAAATGAGTATGGGATCAAAGGAGCATCACCCAGCACATACTGATCCGGTACAGTAAAATCCCATATAGTAAATCATAGATCCCATACAGTAAAAGCCCGGTAGAATACGAAATCTGACGTCCTCTGGCACGTCTGCCATAAATATCACACAATAAGTTACAAATATGGAGAGGATTGGGCTGTTTTCAAGTGGTTTTGTTGTACATGAAGACAAAGAGTACATGCATTTAAATGGCATGGAGCAATTCAAGTCTAAGTCTGGGCAATGGGGTGAGCACATATAAGCTTGCAGCGATTATAAATACCCATGCATTCAATTTCCGTTGTATAGCAATACCACGAATGGGCACTCAGCCCGGAACGATACGCGGACAACGCTATGCTATATGACTCCGGCTATCGACAGGATCTAGGCTCAAGGCTGCGGTATTGATAAGGCAACTTTGTGGCCTCAGCTGGGGCCTGCAGATGCGAATGGGGACGTCAGTCGAATCGACATGAGCTCTGTGCTTTTCAGAGGCCATTTCAGAACTGCTGGACAAATCGCGATAAAGTTTGAGACTGGCTGGTTTCGACACCTATTGCTCTTAATCTTGGAATTCCAAGTGGTTACATTGACCGGCGGTGGAAATCTGTGGTCGTTTACGCAGATTTGCAGAGCGATAATGGGCAGGTAGCGTTTTGCGATGCTTCTTTTGCATCGCATTGCATTTGCTTTGCGGAACCACCTCGTCTCGGCGTATGGGTTCGGAAGTATGATGTGGGTTTATAGGGAGTGTCCCCATTTCTGGGAGTTTTTGGATAGGTCATTCAAGATTAAGTTCAGGTCCAGTTAAATCTGGACATCAAATTTGAATCAACCCGTGCCGATGCCGGTATGTCCTGAACAAAAATACCTAATCCTTTAAAATGTCAAGATGTTGTTATTGGTGGGTCATACTAGGTCAACGTCAACGAAGGTTAAGCCTTGAAGACCACCTAAAACGCTACCAGCAGACTGTTAATATCGTTGCAATTCACTGTATGCACTATCTTCGCACGTGCTAGAACAACTAAGGACAAACCATGAAACCATAGAAGGTCATGGAACGACCTCAGGGGAATACACGCTCTCCGTTAGAAGTGGACCGCGTCGTAGACTCATTTATATGTAACTTTGCAGGCTTTCGAACCAGAGCGCAGATGAGACACGATTTGAGCTTGTTTGCCTTGCCCTGAGGATGGCTGTAAACTACCCGGGAAAATCCTTGGGCCGCGGCCGAATCGATAGGCGGGGGAAAAGGGTCGTGCCAGCCCAGTCCTGTGGAAGGTGGCCAAACCACAGTAACTGGCAGTTCCCTACACCGAGGGCGTCACAAGAACAGCCTTCTCCGGTGGCGCTGATATCGGGAGATGGGTGGCAGGGTGAGCGATGGCGATCTGGGGCCGTTAGGAGCGCGAGGCTGCACCACCACTGCACCCCTCCGGTGGCGCTGATATCGGGAGATGGGTAGCAGGGTGAGCGATGGTGATCTGAGGCCGTTAGGAGCGCGAGGCTGCACCACCACTGCACCCCTCCGGTGGCGCTGATATCGGGAGATGGGTAGCAGGGTGAGCGATGGTGATCTGGGGCCGTTAGGAGCGCGAGGCTGTACCACCACTGCACCCCTCCGGTGGCGCTGATATCAGGGGATGGGTGGCAGGGTGAGCGATGGTGAGCGCGAGGCTGCACCACCACTGCACCCCTCCGGTGGCGCTGATATCGGGGATGGGCGGTAGGATTATCGGCGGTGATCTGCAGCCGCTGGGAGCGCGAGGCTGCACCACCGGCCGGCTGGGTCGGGCGACATAGCTGCCTTATCACGCAGCCAGCTGGCGACATAGGTGTGTGATACAGCAGATAAGATGGCCGAAGGCCGATCAAGCGCCAAATCAGGATTCGTCAGCTCGAGAAGGCACGCGCTACCTTGTGCCTCGAAAACTCACAACGACGATCAAGACGACAAGCACGAAAAGCCTTCGACCGTACTTCTCGACAGGGGCCCAGCTTTCATACCAACGTCGTGCTGTGGCTACGTCACGGTCGCGGCCTATCGCACAATCAGTGTCGACGACAGAGCCGGCCGGAGGCTCACGTGCGCCGGCGGCGTCGCGGCTGAAGTGCAGCACGAACGGAGCGCGGCGTGGCGGCACCGGGAGACCGGCGAAGCTGCGTGAGCGTGGTCTAGCCAGCCGGCAACGCCCGGCTCGCCCGCACCGGCGCCCGTCGGTTGTAATACGAAGCAATGTCGGTGCTGCATTGACAAGCGGTGGTGTCGGAGACGGCGTTGTAGCGACAAGCGGCTGTGTCGGAGACAGTGTTGCAAGGACAAGCGGCGGTGATGGAGAGAGAGCTGTGGTAACAGACACAAGAGCCAAGGAAATTTGTTGCGGTGGTAGGCAGCAATGTTGAGGGTCTAGTAGTCAGAGCTGGACGACACCGAGCGATTTTCCGCCTTGCATCGTCACGTCCTCTCCCGCGTCGAGGGACGCCCCGTCGCAGGTCAGCCCTCGTGCCGTCAGTCGGACACTGCCACGACTTGACCTGACCTGACCTGACCTGACCATGTTCCGGCTGAAGAACCAGCAGCCGACGCCGACGCTGCCGGTGCGCCGCCTTTGGACGGTGGGCGCCTCTGCCTCTGTGGCGCTCTCCTCTTACATCCTGGTCGGCTACTGCATAAGCGAGGTGGCCGGCCCGGCCACGCTCGTCAGCGTGGCCGTCTCTTCCGTGCTGGCGGCCATCACAGGTCAGTTGGCGGGCGTCTGTGTCGCACGGCGGCCAGCGAAGACGATCAGAAACGTCCAAAGTGCCGCTCTGTACGGCGGTGAGGAGTCTGTCGTAGGTACCTCGTAGTCTGTCGTAGGCACCTCGTTGCGGTGTGCTGACACGCCTGCGCGGTCACGCCTTTTGGTGACGTTCACTTCACCCGCCACGATTAGGACACATGTATGTGAAAGGGTTGGTGAGTTGAGGATAGCACATATGTCTGACACCGCCCCGTCGGCGGGTAGGGCTGGCCTACGTGGAGCTGACGCAGAGAACACAGGCGACCGGCTCACCCTACAGTTTCTGCTACACCTACCTGGGAGAGCTGCCTGCCTTCGTCGTCGGCTGGGCCGTCGTCGGCGAGTGTGTTGTTGGTATGTGCACAGCACGTAACGACGCGCGCTACGCAATGTGCTCCCTTTACAGCGGTATGTGATCAGCAGCGTAAAATCATGTGAACCATTTGCGCCTGTTAACGGTGGCGTCGGTGTGACTAAACGCTTGAGATGCGACAAAACCAGATCAAAGCCCTTAAGAAGTTGACATTTCCACTCACTAGATACAAGCGACTGGTTGTCAAGCTACCAGCCACAAACAGAACGGAGGAGAGTGGCAAGGGCTCAGGACACTTCTCCGTCTGGGTCGCACGGCGCGCGCTCGTGACGGGTGCCGCCCGCCGCCGCTCTCAAACACGCCCGTCTTCGGCCGACAGGCGCCGGCCTGATGGCCAAGGCCATCACCTACTACTCCAGCTTCCTGTCGAACGACACGCTGCTGACCTCTCTGCAGACATGCTGCGCGCTGGGCGACCACCAGACGGAGCTCTGGAGCTTCTTCGACCCCGTCGCCATGTCGGCTGTCATCATCGTTGGCGGTGAGCGCGGGCCAGGTGACGGGCGGAGCGGCGCCGCCGACCTCTGGTGTCGGTCGCCGCTGGGATGCGGCCCTATTCACCCCTGGACGGGCGCTGTCGGACGTACGGGCGCCAGGGCCGACCGCACGCTGGCGTGGCCGTGACGTTATGGCACGCGTGGAAGAGGGTTCGTTGCCGCTCAGGCCGCTGCCATGGTATCGGCTCGAGTTATCCGATGGCCGCATAGCGCACTCATCAGCCTACCGCCCTGCGATTCGAACTCTGATTGAGGGGAACGGAGGTGGATGGTCCGGGTTTCCACAAGTGGTCAAAAGACATACAATTATAATTTGTTTTGATATAATGTATGATGTGGCACGTTATATTGTGTTTTTCTCGCTCCAAAAACCATGCAACACCTGAGAAATTCCGCCAGCTTGCGGCTTGCCTGTGGCTCACTTTAACCCATCTGCAATCCTAGAATCTAACTGTCGTATTACAAAAATTTAAAAGGTATTTGGTAACCATGTCCAATCACATTTCACTGTCAGGGATAATCACACAACATATAATTTGGAATGCTCATGTTTTTAATATTTTGGACACTGTGCTTCCATATTAACACGGCTGTATTGCTCTGTAATTAGCGCATGGCCGAATCAACGTCTTTCTCGCACCAAAAGCATGCTACAGCATGAGCAGAGCTCAAGGTATATAGTTAAGCCAAGTCAGTTCCAAGCCAGGTCAAGGTCATATTGGTTCGTCAGGCATTAAGTTCTGCCCTCCGTGTTCCGTGATGTTTTGGCGATTTACGTCTTTGGACGATTATTGTAGCATAAAACACAATTGCAGAATATTTTGTTTCCTCGCGTTTACCGTAATTTCAAGAACAAGTGGAAGTAACATGGGACGACAGGAACAATTCGGTGACATATCTTCGATCGGGCACTTGCTGTTCTATTGAAGAAAGCTACGACTAATTTTGATTTTAAGCGAAAATAGCATCGCTAATGGCGCGTTATTTCATAATAATGTACCTGATGAGTATTGATTGGTTTCGAAAATTTCGGAAGGCCGACGAATTGTTTATCACAACTAGCAGGTCGAAATCATTTTGGCTCGCCATTTATGATTCAACGTCGCACCAATTCCGTTGGTGATGTTATGTGTACGCTTCAGTGCGGTTGGTCTTAGTTGGGATATGGTCAAACCTACGAATAAATTCAACACATTTGCCGAAAATTCGAGGCGAAGAAAAAGGCTGGAAATGTCTGCCTGTAGGGACACGCATCGCCGCGTGAGCTTTCCTTGTTGGCGTCGTAGCTCTGTAGCACAGACTGGCAACAATATTTTTTTCCAAAATGTATCAAGGTATCATTCTGATAGTGTTAAAAAGGCAGGCCGGTGCTTGGAATTTGATAGGCCTAGGTGTAACTAATCGGATGTTATTCCAGAAGCCGGAGGGGTATGATGCTAACGACCCTGGGCAACTTTGGGCGCATGGTCCGACAGTTTATTGGATTTGTTTTGGACCTGTGGCACTCGCCTCTAATGGATGTATGTTGTATGCTTCAGTTGCGTGCGCCCTCAACAGTCATCTGGCCTGTAGGGCCAACCAAATACTGCTGCTGTTAAACTTCATCACAGTTATCTTCACCATCATTGTCATCGGTGTGAAAGGTCAGTACCGTGCAGCATGCTCTGCGAATATGCTGCAGTGGTAAGTAACTGTGGTCAGGTGCCTGCATCTTTTGGACCATTGCATCAGTCTATGGGAGAGCCGATTCTCCGGTTTCTCACCAGGGCATATCGCAAGTGAGGCGAATCACGTGCTTTGTCTAATCACGTGCTTTGACGATTTTATCGTGACGCATGCTGCGCCTGAACGAATGGGTGATGATTCTCCATCCCCTCTATCCGCGCTCTCAGGTTCCAGAGATAGCTGGCAGGACGGAAGTGGCCATAGCACCTTTGTGCCGTCGGAGTTTGGCGCGCACGGCGTGTTCCGTGCCAGCGCCATCTACATGCATGTGTTCCTCACCCTGGTCACTACGGCCACGCTCGGTATGTCAAGGCCACGTTCGATATGTCAATGCCACGTTTGATATGGCAAGACCACGTTAGGCATGTCAATGCCACGTTCGAAATGTCAAGGCCCGCTAGGCATGTCAAGGTCACGCCCGGTGTGGGAAGGTAGTGCGCTCGAAAGCCTGGCATTCGTGAGTCACACACTCAAGTCCCATGCTCGGCACCTTCCATGCTTGGTAAGTGACACACTCGAATGCTCGTGACGCTGGTGAGTCGCACACCCCAGGCATCGGTGCGTTCCATGCACGGTGAGTCATACGCTCGTCGGGTCCCACATCCGGTAAGCTGCCCACGATGCATGACAGTCTCGGCGCGGCACACTCGGCAAGCAGGCAGTAACACACGCAAGGCACTGCAAGTCACACATTTTGTAAGTGGCTCACTGGGTAATGTCACACGCTCAATAATTTACACACGTGATAAGGCGTGTAGTAACACACTCACACAGAAACACTGCAAGTCACACACTTTGTAAGTGGCACACTGGGTAAGTCATACGCTCAATAGGCCACACATGTGGTAAGGTGCAGTAACACACTCACACAGAAACATTGCAAGTCACACACTTTGTAAGTGGCACACTGGGTAAGCCACACGCTCAATAGGCCACACACGTGATAAGCCGTTTATTCGATAAGAAACACACTCGATAAGTCACGGTCACTACTCGTAGTAAGACGAAGGTAAGCAGCCCATTCAGAAATGGGTTTTGTAAGTCAGTCTGTAAGTCGCACAATCGACAAGTCACATATTCGGCGAGACATAACCTCGGCAAGTCACACACTCGGCAGGTTACATGTTCGATAAGTTACATGCTAGATAAGTTAAACGCTCGGTAAGTCAGATGTTTGGTAAGTCACAAGCTCGATAGGTCACTTACTCGGTAAGTCACGTGTTCGGTAAGCGATACGATGGGTAAGTTACACTCTCGGTAAGTCTTCTCGCCGTAACATTCAGAGGCGGCGTAGCGAAGGTCCCATCAACGAGCGCAGGTGTTACCCTTGCTGGCCGCGAGGGAACTATAGCGGACACAGCCACGCAACCACCCTCAGACAGTACTTGACGTACTGTAGCTGTCAGAGATAAGTTTTACATGTCGCTAAAGATATTATACCATAGTCGTGGGTCCCGACCAGAGTGTTCAGACGCTTTCTAGTGTGTTTTTAAGTGAAACGCGCGAGTATCCAGTTCTAGCTTTTAGTTTCCGAGATCTCCTGGCCGTCGCTGGCCGTATGTACTGGAATGGTGCAGACAGAATTGACGTGTCGTATGATGCACCACTAACTAAGGGGCAACTTCACGCCCTAAAACGGCTAGCATTCCCTTGCGAACCTGATTCCGTGAGACACGGACACAGAAAACGGTCAGAGTTGTCGGGACTGCGAGGTGAACACGTAGACGGCCAGCGAGAGTTGAGATAACCTGGCTTACACTGAGATGGGAGACGACATCGAAATTGCAAGGGCGCTGACACCAATCTGTTGTGTTTTGTTTGCATTACAAACGTGGTGCAGCAACCCAGTCGCGCGGCGCCACTTCCTCCACGGCCATCAGCTTGGTGGTCACCCTCATCGTGGCCATCATCGCCATGATCAAGGCCGTCAGCGTCAGCCTCCTGCAGCCGTACGACATGCTGGTGAGCTAGCGAGATGCGAGATTTCAGTTGTGAGCTAGCAAGACGCGAGGGTTCAGTAGTGAATAAGCAGAACCCTGCAGTCCGCTGCTGGGGAAAGCGGAGCCCTGCAGTCCGCTTCTGAGAGAGCGGAACCTTGTAGTTTGCTGCTGAGTAAGCGGAACCCTGCAGTCTGCTGCTGAGCAAGGGAATCCTGCAGTCTGCTGCTGAGAGTGCGGGACCTTGCAGTCTGCTGCTGAGTAAGCGGAACCCTGCAGTCCGCTGCTGAGAGAGCCGAAGCCTGCAGTCCCCTGCTGAGCAAGCGGGACCCTGCAGTCTGCTGCTGAGAGAGCGGAGCACCAAGTCCATAGGTGACCGAGCGAAACTTTGGTCGGCTGTTATAAATTGCGGAAATGTTTGCGACGAAGAAGGTGTTGATTTGAGGAAGACAACGGTCATTTAATGTTTTACAATCGGATATTCTAAAGCAGTGGGCTACTGGGCCCGGACAGCTAAGAGCTTTTTCGCTGTCTCCGTCTTGTTTCCGAATGTGAAACAACAACCACAAGTTCTCCACACATTACCGACAACGACCTGAATGTGAGGCTCAGCATAGCACGTTGTAAAATCAAATTGAACAAAACACTACTATCATCGCCAAGCGCGCTTATATGTGCTACTTAAAGGGAGTGTTTCACATTTGTATGGGGTTTTGACCTGAAATAGCCATCTTGCAGGTCATTCGGTGCAGTTCAGCCCTGCTCTTCTTAGAATCTAAGCCCATCATGTTTCTGTGTGCAAAGATGTGCAGGCTTCTTCGTGCAGACTGTTTTAGGGTCACCCAGTCATTCATGGCGCTCCAATATCGTCCTTTGAATTTTGTCATTTCATTGGCCATGTGGCGGTTGAGGCCAAGAAAAATATGATTACTTAGACGTGCATACTTGGCTTTCGTGAGTGCGATTTCCAGACATAGCAGCCGTCAGTGGCCTGTCAATCAACGAAGTGCGATTATGCGAGCGAAGTGCGATTATGCGAGCAAACAATGGGAGCATGTAGGGAACATATCTATTAAAAAGGGATTTTGTTGTTTAGAGCTGTTATTCCCACTTAGAAGTATACCAGTAGTTATAAGCGACCTCATTTAATTAAAGCTGATGCTTGTTTGCTTAATCTTCAAACGCGAAGCATTCTCGTTAAATGTACATTACACACACATGTTATCTGAATTTGATTTCGACCTCACAGCGTTACATACAGCTGCATCGACGTGTTCCCATGATGCTTACGTTGGACCAGCTGATGGTGCATGATTCGGAGCGTCCATCTGTTTTTTGCAGAACAGCATCACACCGGTGGCCACGTCCATGAAGGCTGAAGGACTTGGCTGGGTGGCGACGCTCAACTGCCTGGGGGCTCTCGTCGCGTCCGTGGCCGGGTAGGGGAAAGGCCGTCGGTCAGGACCGCGTGCACGCCACGGTTCGTGTACAGGACGCAGGTATGCGTGTGCTTTTCCCTCAGCAAATGTGGTGCCACGGGTGTTCAAGCGAAGCAATGATGTAAGCCTGCACGGAGGGCGCCCAATGCCACCATGCTTACTATGAGACGCCCAAACAGAGCGTGAGGCAGGCACAGAAAAGTTCAGGAAAGAAAAATCACGTTGCACACCAGTTGGCGCTCCGAAACCTGGTGAGTTTCTTAAAATATATTTGACAAAGACTGTCACAATTGGAGCCCCCTGTAGCAAGAGGCGACAGTTCAGGAAGACTTTTTGGATGCGGGACAGTATTAATCACGGGCTGGTGGGGGCAAATGTGTTGTCCGCGGTTCTCTGACTGTATTTGGTCGGTGTTTAACGGAAGTGAGATGCAGCTGTTCAAAAACGAACATTTTAAAGGCGTATGGAGGCATGAAAAGGGCGGTGTTGCACAGTTTGGATGGAAGCCCAATATCTCGATGGCAGTATATTTAGCAGTGCTTCTAGTGTTTCCTGCCATGATCTGTCCATTGCTGCCTGTGTCAAATAGCACGCACGAGAGGGAGTGAGGTGACGTAAAGTGGTTTCCTGTCAAAGTATACACGTGTAAATGATTTGCGCGCGCTGGCACGAACACTTCAACGGAAGATTGACTAACGATCCCGCTGACCCCGCTCCTTTAGTATTCTTATATCCGCTACTGGTAAAAACAACCGATCAATGTGCTCTCACAATCTCCTTATCATTTTAAGCCGGGCTGACGGTTGTCGTGGGTTTCTTAGCATTGAAATAAAAATATTTAATATCTTGTGTTTTGAAAACCATCGCTGAACAGTGCCAGGTCCGTCACTGGTGATTCGAAGTCATTGATTTGTAAAATGTATTCATTTCTGGCAGTGTAAAGTATTCGTAGTTATCTCAGGGCAAGGTGAGCAGAGTCATTTGAGGACACCAATTAAAGACGGAAGTGACACTCCGGCTGTATACGTGCGTCTCTATCAGATGCAACTAAAAATGGCTTATTCGCATACCTAAAACTTTGCGTGCTTGGGTTCCTTCATTTATTTATCGTGTTATCTAAATCCACTATAAATTCACCACAACAAAACCTGTCTATCGCACGCTTCCCCCTCCTGAGAGCAGCACTGACCAAATCTTTAAAACCGTTAAATGTCGAAAGAGAGTAATTGCTACAGCGGTTCGTTTGAGCCCTTCCACGACAAGATCGGTCCAGTGGCTTCTGAGCTTTCACAATGGTAATGTTCTCCCGAATAGAATTCAAACCAAGTGCACTGCATGAGACTAACACCAAGGGTAAAACCGATCAACCATATTAACGAGTATTTATGGGAAATGGGAACGCATTTGGCTGCAGGTAGTAATGCATGCCCATAGCTCATAAACCAAAGAAGATGACGCCGAGGACCTCCCTTTTTACCTTTGCCATCACGTGAAAAGCCAGAAGGTGACCGTGCGACACATGAGGCGGCGTTCCTTCCATTGACCTGACCTGCTGTGTGGCGGCAGGATCTTGAGCATGCTCGTGCTGTCTGCGAACACGCTGGAGCAGATGGCGTCTGACGGCCTACTCTGGTCGCGGTTGGCTGCGCGTCGGCCGTCCATTGCCCCCACGGTCACCACCCTCATCTCCACCGCGCTGGCAGGTCAGCGGTCATCGACAAATGTAGTGTGACCGGACAAGTATGGAACCGTGTATTACGGCCGCGGTAATGTCTCGGCTTTCGCGAATCATCTGAAATTGTACATGCTACACCCTGATGGTGTATCATATGCAGTATTCGTGATGGTGTGTTGTATGTAGCATATGTATGTATATATATATATATATATATATATATATATATATATATATATATATATATATATATATATATATATATATATATATATATATATGTATATATGTGTGTGTGTGTGTATGTGTGTGTACGTGTGTATGTGTGTGTGTGTGTGTGTGTGTGTGTGTGTGTGTGTGTGTGTGTGTGTGTGTGTGTGTGTGTGTGTGTGTGTGTGTGTGTGTGTGTGTGTGTGTGTGTGTGTGTGTGTGTGTGTGTGTGTGTGTGTGTGTGTGTGTGTGTGTGTGTGTGTGTGTGCGTTTGTGTGTGTGTATTAGTGGCACCGGTTTATTATACAAAGGGCACCATCATGATTAACGCTTGCTGTGACTGGTAAATATATAGCTGTCACATGGGGGCTTAGTTTTCTGTATCGCCATGCTTAGAGCACTTCCACTCATTCGTTGGCTTAAAACATCATAACCTAGTCGACCAGGAACACCACTTCTATGTATTTATACCGCCATAGCGACAGGGACACGGCGCTGTCTAATGTTGGTAACGGCTCTCTGGCTACCTTTGCACATCCGACTGACGCAGGCAGACGGCCGCCGCGCCGACCAGCCGCCCCCGCGGGTTCAGAGATGACATGTGTCTGACCGCGCGACAGGGATCGGTGCCGCCTTCCAAGACTTCTCGGGCCTGGTGCTCTGCCTGTCGTCAGGCACGTTCCTCGTCTTCCAGGCGCTGCTCATCGCCGTTATGGTGTCCAGGTCAGTCGGAGTGTTCAGGGACGGCCTCCACGTCAGTCACAGTGACCAGGGTCGTGCAGCGGGTCGGCTGATCTGACAAGGGACAGGTACCGGGTCAGTCAGCGTAGCCAGGAGGTCTTAGGTCATGCAGCGTGGTCAAGCAGACTCCAGGTCGGTTTGAGTGGTCAAGGGCAGGCTCCAGGTCAGACGGAGTTGCCAGGTGCAGGCTTCAGGTAAGTTGGAATGGCCAGGTGCCTGCTACGGGACTGTCCCAGTAGCCAGATGCAGGCCTGAGGTCAGCCGGATTGGCCAGGTGTGGACTTAGGGTCAGCCGGAGTGGCCAGGTGTGGATTTTAGGTCAGTCGGAGTGGTCAGGCTGGGCTCTGGGTTAGCCAAATTGGCCAGGTGTGGATTTTAGGTCAGTCGGGGTGGCCAGGTGTGCACTCCGGGTAGCTGGAGTGGCCAGGTGTGGGCTCCGGGTAGCTGGAGCGGCCAGGTGTGGGCTCCAGGTCAGTCGGAGTGGCCAGGTGTGGGCTCCAGGTCAGTCGGAGTGGCCAGGTGTGGGCTCCAGGTCAGTCGGGGTGGCCAGGTGTGCACTCCGGGTAGCTGGAGTGGCCAGGTGTGGGCTCCGGGTAACTGGAGTGGCCAGGTGTGGGCTCCGGGCAGCTGGAGTGGCCAGGTGTGGGCCCCAGGTCAGTCGGAGTGGCCAGGTGTGGGCTCCAGGTCAGTCGGAGTGGCCAGGTTCAGGCTGCGTGTCAGATGGAGTGGCTGAATGAAGATGTGCTCTGTCTCTTTGTCAGTTTTTTCCCAAGGCCCGGAATTTTTCCAAAGTATTCCATGATGACACTACCATGCAAGGCAGTTATAAGCGAAATGCTTCATGGTACACAACGCACAAAAAAATGTCCACAAAAAAATTGGAGAGCCTTATCTATTTGTGTTCTAAATCGACTGCCACAACATGGTTATGGAAGTGACGAAAACACCTAAAGGTCACTGACGACAGGGCACGAAAATAACGGCGGTTACTGAGGGACAGGTGCCGGTCAGCCGGAGCTATGTACCTAACAGGTATCTGGTCCAAGTCCTAACACGTCCAAATAAGGTAACTAACAATCCTAACGACTGTTAGGATATTGCATTATAGCACGAATACTACAGTTCAATATCAATTTTCATCTTCTCCTTTAAAAAACATCCTTTGTCCATAGATTACGGACAAGTGATGCTCCAATCACCTCCTGGATCCGGCTTTACACTCTAGGCCCGGAAGACGCTGAATGTGCTCGGCCCGTATGGGGAATGTCACCAAAAGGTCGCTTGGTGTCCTGGTGGCATCGAACGAGTATTTGAAGCGATGTAGTCCTGCCGATGTGAGGGAACTTCGTTATGATAAACTTAAGGAAAAGTGGCCCGTCCGCGTGAAAATATGTACGAAGAATCCATTTCATCCCACAACAATGCTCTTTGGATAGGGCGAAATGTCCCCTCCTCTCCGGCGTTAGAGGGAGCGTGCCTGTCCCCGGTGCCACGGCCCCAGCTTAGACGTTTTATTCGCTTACAGTTATTTAGATTTAACGTAATACATATGCATATAATCGGCCAAACTGCCGGCTTATGAAACCTTCAAGTCCATCAGATATTCGTGCTGACTCCATTCTCACACCATCAGACGTGTTACATTCATGCGTTACATTATGTTAAACGTGCACACATGCCTTTTATGTCATAACATGTAAGTGGTATATCAGTTTCGCGTAGATGCTTCCTTCCACCGGTAACTCAACGATGCTGTTTCCAGATCGCATGCCAGCAGAGAGAGTGCTTTGATGATTGTGCTCAAGTTTACCTGGCTGCTTTACTGTGAGTAGCATCTCGAGAACGCAAGAAACCCACGGTGCTGCAGCGCGTGTGTTTGCGATCTGCGGGCTCAGGCTTCTCCATCTGACTGGATTTGTGCGTAAAGTGGAACACATCGGACCCGGAGCGGCGTTAGCCATAAGACAGACGCGCCAGCAAAGCGAGGTGGTTTGGATTGCGAGGCCGCTCACTGTCAGACTTCAGGGTTGCTGTACCAGACCAGAGCGTGCGGACCAACCGTCAGGCGAACGTTCAAACGATACCCGCTGTGGTGCCCTGTACACGCGTGCAGCAGACTCAGAGACGGCGGCTCCCGGTCTCCCGACTGTCATGGTGTGCGGGCTGGCGGGGTTAGAGCGGCTCGGCGTCGGGAGGGGTTACAGTGACAACTGACGCCTCGCCGCTGCCAACCGCAGTTTTCGTCTCTCCGGCGCTGGTGATCATGACCAACCGGCTCAGCGAGAAGCGGCAGGTGCAGTCGGCGCTGCAGGGCATCCTCTCTGGCGTGGTGCTCATGTTCCTCCAGCTGGCCATCAACAGGCACCAGCTCGACGTCAGGGTGAGCACGCACACGCCGAAAACAGGTCTATATCTACATATATATATATATATATATATATATATATATATATATATATATGTGTGTGTGTGTGTGTGTGTGTGTACGCATATATACATATACGATGAATTATATATATATATTTGTATTTATATAGAAAATTAGCGTTAGTTCCTCCAGCGCTGTTTGTTGTTAAATGATCGTGCACCCATACCTGATGAGCAACAGCTTTATGGTAGCCTTTGTTTAGCTTAGGCCATGAATGTAGATATGGCAGTGGAACTCAAAAGCGAAAGCGAAACTAGTTCAAAAGCCGTACATAGGTGGCATTAAAACCAACACTGCCAACTGAATGTAGGTATTAAGTATAAAGACACAGTTCATATATATTATTAAACTGGCAGCTGTTTCACAAACGGTCCTGCATATGATCTAAAGGCGCCTATGATCGCGTGGGTAAAATCAGGCGAAGACCACGCAGAAAGCAAAGCGTGTGTAGTGCGCGAACGCGTGAGAAAAAAAAATGGTTTGACTGCGTCCACCCTCTCGTAAGTGGAATGCGCAAAAGCGTGGTTTCCGTCGCTTGGATAAATTGCGTCAAAGCATCTGCGGTAAAGTTTTGTGATAAAACGATGAGTCTTCCTTTGCCGGGGATGACATTTTTGCAAATAGGATACCGCACTGAATTCCCTGTGGACAAACAAGGAAAGATGAAAGATGGCGCGTCAGAGAAGAGTGCGAAGGGAGAGGGGAAAGAAAGTGAAAAAGGGAGGGAAGTGAGGGAAGTAAGAATGAAAGAAGAAGTGACTGTCATGTTAGGCATCGCGTTGCACCGCTAAAACTGGATGCAAAATCGTTCCAACTCCCCTGACTTTCTGGGACTTTCTTAGTCCTTGACGAATGCGCGCGCGAAGGTAGCATATATGGATATAAACGACGAAGGCATGTATGCGCAAATATACGGATATAGATGTACTGTACAGGATAATGCGATAAGAGCTGCATGAATCCATGACGCCCACGCCACAAACCTACATCAATCGCTGCCAATTCTAGTGTGTTCTGTGTGCCACCGCCATCGACCTAGCCTCTGAGTCGGCACGTAATCTGGTGTGTTCTGTGTGCCACCGCCATCGACCTAGCCTCTGAGTCGGCGCGTAATCTGGTGTGTTCTGTGTGCCACCGCCATCGACCTAGCCTCTGAGTCGGCGCGTAATCTGGTGTGTTCTGTGTGCCACCGCTATCGACCTAGCCTCTGAGTCGGCGCGTAATCTGGTGGCAACTGTCAGCGTGACCTGAGCACTGACCTCGGCTGACCTCGGCTGGGGATCTGGCCGGCAGGTGGTGGCCGTGCAGGTGGGCACCAGCGTCGTAATGGGCTTCTCCAGCTACCTGATGTACCAGCTGCACCAGTGGGCCTGGTACCGGCTGTTCATCTGGACATTCTTAGGTGGGCATCCCAGCGGTGGTGCAGGAACTATACCAACCGTCTGTGTAGAGCAGAAGTACATGTGTTATTCACCTTGGTCCGGGCCTAAACAGACGCGTTCCCACGTAGAGGCCATGTGTGAAGGCGGTGTTACCTGTGGTTGTCAGACAAAAAAAAACACCGAGACACAGCCAGCGCGATCCATACGCTACTTTGACATTGGCATTGCATTTTATTGGAGCAAGTTTCCACACATGCCAACATGTATATTCCAAGTCTGTTGTCAGAATGATTTGTAAAACAAACGAAGTGGGCGAGCAACACCATGAGTAAGAGCGGAGAGAGTCAGCGACACATACATTATGACAAACCTTCGGTAACCGTTCACCCTATATTGCAGCACGTTGTCTACGCGTCAACCAACAGTTCCTTAAACCGAGTCATAAAACATTGCAGTCTCACGGCAATGTCCGGGCCGTTAGTGATTCAAGACCTGCGTGATGCCCTTTTTGTCCGCTTCCAGGCATGCTGGTGTACACGCTTTACGGCTACCGCAAGTCGCACCTGGGGCGTGGCATTGTTGACCTGGCCGTGGTGCCCCACGACGAGTGCGTGCGCAGCCTGGAGGGCGGCCTGGACAACGCCGGCTTCCAGCACGAGCTGGCCGAGCTGGGGGTGGGGCGTGGCCGACGCTCGCAGCGCAGCTTCGGCGGCCACAGCTACGGCAGCGCCCGCTCACGCCAGAAGGCGAGCTTCCACAGCGCCCGCGAGGACGGCGACGGCCGCGACAGCTTCCGCAGCGTGCGGGAGTCGGACGAGCGCGGCCAGAGCTTCGGGAGCGTCAGCAGCGCCCAGGGCTCGGGCGACCGGCCGGATGGCGGGCGAAGGCGATATAGGCAGGAGAGCTTCCTCAGCCTGGAGGAGGAGGGCAGCCAGCAGCTCTCTGAAGCTGACCAGAGCCGGGGCAGCTCACGGGTGAGCTTCGGAAGCGTGCGGGCCGAGGACAGGCGAGGAAGCTTCGGAAGCGTGCGAGATGATGACAGACAGGGGAGTTTTAAAAGCTTGCAAGACGAGACTAGCCAGGAAGGCCGTAACATAGTTAAGGACGAGGAAGAGACCCTGCAGTCGGGCGACGTGGAAGCGTGGGAGATGCGGCCGGGCGACACCGGCGTCCCGGCCCGTGCGGTGGGTCGGCGCCGCGCCGCTGACAGTGGCGGCAGTGGACGGCGGCGGTCGGATGGGACGCCGCCCGAGAGAAGACGCCGGCCGCCCTCAGGGCGTGACTCTCCGCCCTCCGGCCGCCGAGCAACGCCTGCGGACCTGGTGCCGACCCCTCCCACCGCCCGCCGTCAGAGCGTCGAGATCCTCATCAACCCGCGCAGGCTGTGTGAGGAGATGTACCTCTCACGCGCGCCACAGGCGCCGGTTAGTTCTGAGGAGAGTGTGGAGATGCGACAGGCTGCCAGCGAGCTGGGTAGGTCGGCGGGGCACGCAGCGCAGCCGGTCCAGAGTGGCCCCGAGTCCACGCCGGCGGAGCTGCGGTACACTGGAAGGCCTGGCTCCCTGTCCAGCTCGGACGGGGACGACGACAGAAGGGCGCAGTCTTCCGACGACGACGCAGACAGCGAGGGTTCCCGTCGACGATCGAGCGGCGGGTCGGCCTCGGCGTCGTCAGCTAGCGGTCAGATGGCGGTCAAGGTCGGATCCGGCGTCGGCGTCACGCCAGCCGAGCTTGAGCCTGAGTCGAGCGCACAGCTGTCCCTGTCTCTGTCGGACGTGTGGTACGACGACGACGACGAGCTGGCCTCTCAACCAGCTCCAACCACCCGCCACCAGCTGATTGAGGACATGAGTGAGCAGATCTCGGCGCACACGGGCGATGACTCGGACGACACCGCCAGCGGGTCGAGCAGAGGCAGCATTCGTGGCAGCGGCGTCTTCGCCGAGGCGGTGCGCCCCTGCACCAAGGTAGTCGTAGCCCGGACACATCGCCCGCTTCAGCGTGGCCAGCCGCCAGCTCCTGCTCAAAAATCGTCAGGCCGGGATGCCCTAAACGACAGAAAAGAGCCGCGGGATGCTGAGAGAGCGTCGTCTGGCATCAGCGGCGCCGACAGCGGACAGCAGAAATCCCTGCCAGCCCACCGCCATTCTGAAAGTGGACAGGCTCAGGCGGGGGCCGAGCTCACTTCTGGAGGCTTCTCAGATCGCTCTTCTCATAGTGAAGAGGAGAGTGAACAAGCCTTCGGAAGGGACATGGCACAGTTAAAGCGCGCCTCCAACCATTCTGACAGTGAGCAGGATGGTGGCCAGGACCAGGTGCGGAGCTGGACACAGTCCGCCAGCGACTCTGACCATTACGACAGTGAGCAAGACAGAAAGTACGACAGAGTGCGGAATACAGTGCGCCCCAATAACCCTCTACTTCATTTCAGCAGCGAACAAGGCCAGGCAAGAGACGAGCCTGGCTCCAGCTCTGCTACTGCATTAGATGACTCAGAGAGTGAACAGGAGCTGGCACGGGACGCGGTACATTCAAGCAATGCATCCAACCGTGCTATCAGTGAACTGAGCCGTGAACAGCACGACGCTCATCCCAGCACCGGCCTCGATTACTCAGTCGAAGGGGATATTTCGCGGACCAAACCTTCGTCCAAAGATGGGGCGAAAACTGATAACAGCCGGCTCGAGCCGGTAGGCACAACGCGGCCGCTGTTTGAGACGGACTCGGACTCTGGCTCGGAGTCCTCGGGGACCGACTCTGCCAACGTCCTGTCGTCGAGCGACGAGGACTTCGGTCCGAACAGAGGCTGCCGGCCTGTCGACGACAGCAGTGTCACTCCCGTCGGGCGGAGCGGCAGTGGTGAGGGCTTGGACTTGGAGGCCCAGCTGGTCGGCGCGCGGCCGCTGGTGCGACCTCAGATGCGACTGCCAGCCGTGCCCGCAGCGTCGCGCCGGCCCGCGCGCACGCCGTCGCCACTCGCTGTCTTCGGCGCGGCGGCCTCCGCGGATGGCCGGCGTCCTGAGGCGGTGAGCCGGAGCCGGAGCCAGATCCGGAGCCGGAGCAGGAGCCGGAGCCGGGGACGCGGCCACAGCCTGCCGTCCCTGACCACCAGTGAGAGCGACAGCAGCAGCGACGACGGCGGTTCACCGGTGGCGCTGAGGCGGGCCCGCTCTCCGCAGCAGCAGTCGGCCGGCCGCGTCGCCTCGCTGCAGACGGCGCCGGCGTCGCGGCCGCGGCCCACTGCCGCTCGACTTGGGAGCCTGCCTCCGCTGAACCCTGACTATCGCGCCATCTATCTCCCGGCGAAATCAGCTCAGCTTCTGCACGGCGGCGTCAGTCGCCTGGCTGAGCGGCACGCGCGTGAGACGATGGTGCACGACGACGCCGAGCAGCGCGCGGTCAGCTTCGTAGCGACGCCGCCAGGAGTGGAGCTGAGCGGGCTCGACTCGTCTGGGCTGTGCGTACGCCCCGAGCTGGACCGGCTGGCCAGCCGGCTCGCGACCCGTGACGACCGACGATCCCCGGCGGCGAACGACGGGCGTGGAGACGGGGGCCGACAGCGAGAGGTGCCGGACGGAGAGGCGACGCCCGGAGATGGGCTTCAACGGCGGGGTTCGGCGAAAGATGACGTCGTCTTTTGCTGATGTCTGAGCAGCACGGATCCTGGAGCGTGAGAGGGAATCGTAATCGGTCCAGGAAATGACGCCGAGGCATGTGGAAGAGTTCTCACTGTAAGCTGATGCTGCGTATTCAAAGCGTAATTTATCATATGGATCCAAGGCAGAATCTGCCAAATGATTGCATGTGCTGGAAGGCGCCGCACATGGTAATGGTTATTGTCACAGCTGTTTAGCATGGTAGCGGTATGGCGGTATTTAAATAGCAAACACGAAATCCTTTTCAGTTGACGAGTGGTTCAGTTCCTTCTCAACGTTTGCTGCTGCTTCTGTTTGGACTAACGGCCATCAGGTTCGCTTCATTGCGAAATGCCGGCAGCTTACGTCAAGTTCTACATGATGTTCTCCCTTATTTACCCATTGACTGCTTTTCGAGCTCTTAGTTCAACCAATTCCCGTTAACGCATTATAAAATTTTAGAACCAATCTATACCCTTATCGCGTTCGTCTAGCCCTCTGCGCTGCCATGCCGTTAGGTCTGTGTTGTACCAGAGCAGGATCCACAATATGTCTAAATATATACACGCATAAGTTCTTATTCTGAGAGCAAAAGCAAAACGTTTGCGATACGCAGCGAACACAGAAAACGACAGTCATTTCACTTGACGGACAGAAAACGCGGTTCATTCCAGCGTTTTCAACGCGAGGATCGCAAGTCCAAGAATATAAATCGATCTCGATCCATGAATTCATCTTCGCAATATACATGCCCCCTTTGGAGTCCGCGTTTTCAGCTTTTGAAAATGCAATCACACGAATGATGTGACTTCTATATATAACAACATAAAATGTTAATCACCGGGAAACCTACATGGCATTGTGGTCGTGTTCGGTTACATAGTGGTTAGTTTTCGGCACGGGTCGGAGCGATCGGAATCCTGACAATAACAGGAATGCATCTAGCCGAACATCTTCTTTGGCGAATGCATTTGGCCGAATGCTGTTTGGTCGACGCGCTTTCTTGCCGTTGCGTCAATGGGGCGCGCTATCCGGGTGCGCCTTGTTATGCACCGATGCTTTAGGACATCACCCCGCGCGACATTGACGCGCGACATTGACGCGCGACTGCACCGAGCCGGCCGCCGCCCACCGGCCGTTTGGTGCAAGACTCCATCGAGCCCAAGGCCCTAGAACAGCATCGAGCCGGCCGCCAACCACCGGCCGTCTCGCGCGCGGAACGTGTGAAGCCGGATTAAACTGGATAAGATGCGTACACACGAAGCCAGCATTTTGGTGCGTTTTTTAACGCGGGAGGCGGCAGAGGGACAGCAAATAGACACGAGGAGAGGAAACAGGCGCTATAGAGGATTTGAGACGTTTTAACAGCATCTAAAGGACAGCTGAGATTTATTGATGTCTTCATGTCACTTTATATGATCAAAACGCTACGAAAAATCCAATTTGTCCAAATGTTTCTGGTGCCTGGACACGCCACCGACTGCGGTGGTTACATCCATGTTCGTAGGAAGGGCCATGTCATAGGAGTGTCTGCAAGAAAGGGATGAAGTAACGCAGCCATGGTAGAGAGGAGAGAGAGAGAGAGGAGAGAGAGAGAGAGGAGAGAGAGAGGAGAGAGAGAGGAGATGAGAGAGAGAGAGAGAGGAGAGAGAGAGAGAGAGAGAGAGAGAGAGAGAGAGAGAGAGAGAGAGAGGAGAGAGAGAGAGAGGAGAGGAGAGAGGAGAGAGAGAGAGGAGAGAGGAAGGAGGGAAAGAGAAAGAGAGAGTATACAGTATAAGAAAGAGAGAGATAGATAGCATATAAGGATACCACATCCCACTTCCATCTCGTTATATCCTGGAATTGCTGGAATTTCATACTGATAACTAGTATCGGGCTGCTTGGTTTGAGTCAACTCTCCCCTCACCAACTGGGGAAGAGAGGCCGCATAAACCTCGGCACCTCCTAGACACTGTTTATATTGTGGCCACGATAGCAATGGTCGGGCAACAAATAACTGTTGTCTGTTAGTGGGCACTATGAGTTTGGAGTTCTTTCTGACCTAAGTGGCCTTCAGTTTACCATGAAATTGGTTAAACGACTTAATTAAGCAAACATTGGTTTCGATGTTAGAACTCGACGTTTTAAGCCGTACTAAGCTTTTCGTTTTCATTTTTCTCTAGAACGAGGCAGCAGTTAACTGCGATAGTAATGTCCTCACTCAAGGAGATGCGTACGAATGTAAATGCTTCACCTTCGCACTTTCAATTAGCCTGGGCTGTAGCTGGATTAGTCTGGATTGTAGCTGGGTTGTATTGTATTGTGGCCGCATATGGTAGTGGTTATTGTCACAGCCTCACAACCTGTGCGATTTCGCACAGGTTGTGCCGCAACGTTATGACCGAAAGTAATGTTCCATTTTTTTGTGCACTCATGGCGTACTTGTCATTGATGCGGGGTCATGTTGCCAGAGCTCTTCAGATTTTCTTAATTATCCTCGCGCATTTTTGGTTGTGAGGAAGGAGGAATGGGCATTCTCAGTGTCGACGTAGAACAGAATGGATTTGCGTAGGACAGCTTGACGTAGAATGGATCAACACTGTCATTGGTGACCTAAGCAAGCCCCGTGCTCCGAGCTTTTCAGTTTGACGTCACACAATTATGCGCGCATCTTGGCCCAAAATGTACGCAAATGATTGCTTTATTTATGCCCTCCATCTATACAGGTGGGTTGTTCCATGTAGGTACACTGTTTTACAACGGACATACATGTCCACTGATCGGTGGGTTTCTGGCTCCGATCGAAGGCAAGGAGGAAAAATCTTTCAGAAAGTTCAACGGGCATGTCGCATTATCACCATAGTGTTGTTGGACTTCCAGTGGCAGAGTCGAGCCGAGTACACCAGGCTGGAAGATCAGGCTGTAATAATGAAAAAGGCTTGAGCATCGCCGGATTAGGATCGGTGGTTTGGTAATGTCGGAGGTCCAAGTCCAGATGCAGGTTCCTATGTCCTTTCCCTTGTATCATCTACTGATTTACCTCGGCAAGCGTGATGAATTTACCGTGGAAAGT